CAGTTATCTACAAGGAGATTTCTCAGAGCTTAAAATTAAGGAGGCGTTCTTGTCTCTACTCGGGAACAAAAATTGTGGACCTGATGGATTTTTGGCAGAATTTTTCACACGCTGTTGGAGCATCATAGGATCAGAGGTGGTTGCTGCGGTCTCTGAGTTCTTTATATCGGGAAAGTTGCTTAAACAATGGAATGCAACAAATCTTGTGTTTATTCCAAAGATAACTAACGCTTGAAGAACTACAGACTTCAGGCCAATCTCCTGCCTAAATACGATGTATAAGGTGGAGGTTAAAAACTCTTCTAGAATCGGTAATCTCTCCATCCCAATCGTCATTTATGCCAGGCAGGTTACTTGCTGAAAATGTGCTTCTAGCTACTGAGCTAGTGCAGGGCTACAACCGAAGGAATATAGACCCGAGAGTAATGCTCAAAGTCGACCTGCGCAAGGCTTTTGATCTGTGAGATGGGATTTTGTCTTAGCTACGTTAAGAGGTCTTCATATGCCAGAAAAATTTGTCAACTGGATTTCTGAATGCATATCATCGCCAATCTTCTCGGTAGTGGTAAATGGGCGCTCAAGCGGGGTTTTTAAGAGTACGAAAGTTCTGAGACAAGGCGATCCACTTTCGCCCTATCTCTTTATTTTGGTAATGGAGATTTTCTCACGCCTCATTAAATCTCGCTATGCCTCTGGCTATATCCTTCACCACCCTGATTGTGCGATCATAAATATTTCCCATTTGATGTTTGCTGATGATGTGATGATTTTTTTCAATGGAAGCTCATCCTCTCTCCATGGTATCAGTGAAACATTAGATGACTTTGCTAGCTGGTCTGGGCTGCACATGAATCAGGATAAGACTCAGATGTTCCATGCGGGCTTGAACCAGTTAGAAACAAATGCTATTTTAAGCTACGATTTACCGATTGGCTCTTTCCCAGTTCGTTACTTGGGGCTTCCGTTGACGTGCCGAAAGATAAGGCTCTCTGAATACGCTCCTCTTGTGGAAAAATTGGTTGGTAAATTTAGATCATGGGCGGTTAATTCTGTCTTTCACAGGAAGACTTCAATTAATTTCTTTGATAATCTCAGGAACCGTCAATTTCTGGCTCACAACTTTTATCATCCCTCAAGGGTGTATCAAAAAGATTGAATCTTTGTGCTCCAGATTACTTTGGTCAGGAACAATAGAGGGTCGCTGTCTGGCCAAAGTAGTGTGGTCTACAGTGTGTTTACCGAAAAGGGAGGGGGGTTTGGGGCTAAGAAGCTTCTCGGTCTAGACGAAGCCCTCTGCCTTCGTCTAGTCTGGAGAGTAGGTCTCTATGGGTTGCATGGCACAAACACCACCACCTAAGGAGTGCTAGTTTCTGGGCTCTTGAGGAGCATCCACGAGATTCTTGGCATTGGAAATCTCTTCTTCGCTTACGACCTTTTGGCGGAGAAATTTGTGAAGTGTACTGTTGGAAATGGTGAGACTGCTAAGTTCTGGTACGATAATTGGTCACCCCTAGGTCCTCTAATCAAGGTTTTAGGAGAGAATGGCCCGAGAGACTTGCGCATCCCGTTGAATGCGGTAGTCACAGATGCTTGTAATAGCAATGGCTGGAATATACCCTCCCCTCGGTCGAAAGCTGCTTTGTCAATCCATGCCCACCTAACTACGGTTCATCCCCCCGACTCTAGCTTCTGGCAATGACAATTTCTGCAATTGACTTCCATTCATGGGGGAATCTTCTCGCTTGGATGAAGATGACTTCCAATGACAAACAAATGGATCGTTTGATCACGAATACAATCACAGCGAGACGTAACTGAAGATCTTTTCGCAACGTGATGTCGCTCTGGCTTCACTAACGGGTTTTTCACTTATTAGCCTCCGTCTACTCTGTTTCGCTATCAAGTGTCTGGTTTTACGTTTGTAAAGCACATATAAAACTCTTTTTTCATTTTTATGATATTTACAGTTAAGCAAAAAAAAAAACTTGTTCAAACGAAAACGAAAATAGCCAACAGCATACTTTCGAAAGTATACGCAAACGCCGTTACTGAAAACAAAGATAATACTTAAACACATTACATATTGAACTGTTCAATCAACACTATGACGTTTTTCTTGGTCTCAGCATCAATGGTATTCGGGTCCAGCCCCCTTGCGTACGCAAAACCGCCGACTGCATGCATCTCGATCAAGGCCACAACAGCCATGCCCGCTTTGTTTGTCTGTCGTATCTGGGGGATCATAGTAACTCGTTCAACTGACAACAGAATTGTACTTGCTTGTGACATTGTGCGGTTTAGCGAAGCCTGCTTGAACAGAAACAGGAGCCTCACGGCGATAGGTTGAAACACCTTTAGCAGGCTAGACTCTAACTTTATCGCCATATAACAGTTGAAGACTTGTATCTTCCATGCTAGGAGATCTACATCGGCTGCTACCCAATGCTTCTTGTCAAAGTTGAAAGGGAAGTATAGCATGTCGGCCTCTGCTAACAGCAGAACGCGGTCGATGTCATCCGCCACTTCTAACATTTATACAAGGCTTTTGGGAACCAAGAAAGACACTCGGTCTGCCGACTTGACGAATCTGGGGTTAAAGCCTTGTCAAGTTCGAAACAAACCTGGTGTCAAGAATTTCCACTTGTTATCGCAACAAAGCATGCGTCGAGACAGAATGCAGAATGCATCCACTGCATGCATGTTGATTCGTTATTATCATATAACACAGTTCACATGTAATAACATTATTGTGATAAATAAGTTATCTTCGCTTGAACTCCAATATTTCCGAGATTTCTCTGAAAGAAATCAGGATATATTTATTGGATTATAGAATTGATTGATTGCTATTGATATGAGGGTTATGCTTATACGCACAGAGGATACGTTTGACTACATTCCAGTGTTCACAATCACTTGCCGGGTGGTGCATGAACTGAGAGAGTTTGTTGACAGGGAATGCAATGTCTGGGCCAGTAAAAGACAATTACTGAAGACTACCAACGATAGTCCTATACTCGGTAGCATCATTCAAGGTTGTGCCAGAATGAAGTTTGAGCGTTTTATTAGGGCGCATTGGTGTGGAGATAGGCCTGCAGTTTTCCATCTTTGTTTTTGTGTAGCAGATCTGCAATGTAACGTGTTTGAGTTAGTTGTAATCCAGCTTTTGTTCTCGTAACTTCCATGTCAAGAAATAACGATATATCATCTAAATCTTTTAATGAAAATCGTTTGGACAATGATGCAATAAAGCTATTCATATGAGATGTATTATTTCCTGTAATTATTAAATCATCAACATAATGAGAACTCCCTGTTTGTTATAGATGAATAATGAGGCATCAGCTAAAGAATTAACGAAGTCGGAGTGTAGAAGAAATGTACGAAGCTCAGTATACCAAGCCAGAGGAGCCTGTTTGAGCCTATAAATTGCTTTCCGCAGTTTACAAATGGTGTGAGATTGTCATTGTCAACAAAGCCTGGTGGCTGATCCATGTATACTTCATCTTGAAGAGTGCCTTGCAAGAATGCATTGTTGACATCAAGTTGTCTAAGAGGCCAGTCATGCGTGACTGCAATGCTAAGTACAATTCGAATTATGGCAGGCTTCACAACAGGGCTGAATGTATCATGGTAGTCAAGTCCTGGACGTTGAGTAAATCCTTTGGCAACTAGGCGAGTTTGATGATGGATAAGATGAGTTTGACTCCGTTGGTGTTGCAGCAGGTGCAACCGTAGGTGGAACCGTAGGTGGTGGAGGAGATGAGATCACTGGTTCGGGTGTTGGTAAGAGAGAAGTCGTAGTTGGAGGAGTATTTATTGATGGTAAAAGTGTGACAATGCGATGAGAGAGATTTTGAAAATCAGAGGTGTTATCATCTGTATTTTTATGTGAAATTGAAACCTCGAAGGGAAAAACGTGTTCATGGTAAAAGTATCGATCTTAATAAATATTTTTTTTTTCTCCTCTCTTCTCCTCTTCTCTTTCTTCATCGTTACATCTTCTCTTCTCAAGTTTGCAACCATTACTGTTTCTCTTCTCCTTGTTTCTCTATTTCATACACCATCTCTGATACCATAATAGATTATAGAATTGCTTGATTGATATTGATATGAGGGCTATGCTTATATGCACAAAGGATACAACAGAATAAGGAAATCCAATAAATATAATGAGGCCTAACTATACGCAATCATGTGTTGTATAATACCGTTGGTTTGACTACTCTTACAATATTTGTCAATCCTAAAACTGCAGAACGTTTACAGTAGTATGTGTTAGCAACGCCTAATACATATTGGGTAATATGGTAACGGAAATGTTAACTTCTGAGGTTGAGCATGGCCTTTGTGTGCCTCTCCTCGAATCGTTGAGGTACTTTGATCTCGTGGGATGTTTATTCTCTTGCCACAGTCAAACCTCTCATCCAGCCTTGAAAGAGACAACATTCGTCCTCTTGATTCTCCTCCAAGTTTGGATTTGAGTTCCACCAATGTATCATTGAGCTCCGAGGGTTCCTTCACTTGCACAAATACATGCTTCTGTTGTGATCATGATTTCAGTCCGCCCTCTGCGTGGACTGCCCGTTCTTGCTCTCCTGACAAACAGATACGGAAGTCCCTTCAGTTTACAATAAACAACAGTATTAGTTCAGCATATGTATTTTTGGTACCAAATAGGGCGTGAGAACATTGGATTCCGTTTTCATTGACTTCCGACGCCGGTTCGCTGGTGATATACATAAACACCGGAAAGAGTCGGTATATTAAATAAAGGGTTTAAACGGTACAACAGAACTATAGAGGTATCTGGCATGCGTGTTACATATACATAAGACATATCTTGCCAGGTTCGACTATTACCATTATTGGTGGTTTCTTCGCACATTGTTTAACATGGTCGTGGTAATGCCGCCTCCACTGCTCTTAGAAACGTAGCTTCCACGCTCCACAGATTTCCCCTTACCTTTATTGGTCCGGTTAGACTTGGGATTATTAACTCATTTAGACTTCTTCTCAGCAACAAGATTCGCAGGTTTACTTCTCCCGACAAACACAGTGTCCTCGAACAAAATACCTTTCTCTATCAAGTTGACCATGTTTTGGACCTTGTGGTCTTTTTCTTTTTCTCATCCCCCGAATTAAAATCTCTATCACCTAGGATAATTGAATCAATATCAGTCTGCCATCCAAACAATGCATATGAGTATTACGATGCTAACAATGAAAACAAGTAATTATGTTAACATATGAGTATTACGATGCTAACAATAAAGACCTATACAGTTTCGTCTAGGGAGAATCGTATATGTTACCCAGCAAAGAGAATCCAGATCTCGTTGTCGTGTCGACATTGTGTTGCTTCGAGAGTAAATACAACCCGAACCCGCCTGACCATACCGGTTTAGACGGCATGTCCAATAGTTTCCCGAGAGGGGATCTTCTGAAAAATGCAATTTCGTCTTCGCCGAGAGTGTCAAAAATTTTCTGAATGTCGGAGATTCTTTAATAGACGTTGACTCTGTCTGCCAACGACACTTCTCCTGCTTTGATTAGCCTCGGCGGCAATTCGAATTCTTCCATCTGCGAGCAAAAAATTAGATGGTCGAGCATAGTTTGAAAATTAATCATCAAACCATTGAATAGAAAACTGTAACACAATACGCACCATAGAAAAGAGATTGACGATAACCTATGTGTAAAGCTAATCCTCAGAATATCGCAGCTGAGATTGCAGATATGTGGCCCCCAAAACGAGGTTATTGCTAACTTTGCTTTTGGAATGTCGCTACACTACGTAAACCCTAGAAGAAATCTACCATTTAGCTTTCTGATACGAACGCAATTGTACTGAAAAAAATACCAAATTTTACTGCAAAACGAATTAAGAACGAATCCAGTATTCAGGAAACACCGAATCCAAAGAACAGATAAACTCCACAAAGGGAGAAAAAGGGAGGAAGAAGAGTTTGTTAGAACAACAATTTTCTGATAAAAATCGTATTTCTCTCTTTTTGCTTCTTTTATATATCGTCGGCTTCCCTTAAGTTAATCTCCGCCATCCAATTACAGCTTTCCATCCTGACCATCCACGAATCCCTTCACCTCTGATATACTATATCAAATCCCCCCTGTTTCAGCAACCAAGTCCTCATGGTTTAATGTAGGGAATTTCTGCAAAAGCTCATACAAGAACTTCCATGTTGCTTCACTTTCTGGCTCGTTAGACCATTGAACTAACATTTGCGTTGCTGGCCTTCCTTGACGATTAACCGTACGACGCTAGAGGATACGTGCAGGATCTTGTATGAGTGTTTCAGAAACAATAGAGGGAAGAGCAGTACCCACTGTTGAAGTTCCCACTCTTAACTTCAGCTGAAAAACATGAACAACCGGGTGGATGCGGCTCGTTGAGGGAAGCTCCAACTTATATATAACTTTACCACATTTTTTCAATCACTTTGTAAGGCCCGTAATACTTTGGAGCCAACTTCTGATTCTGTCGTGTAACTACAGATCCATGTCGATAAGGCTGTAGTTTGACATACAAGTAATCCCCAATGACAAAGCTTCTTTCCGATATTCTGCGATTAGCTGTTTGCTCCATACGATGTTGAGCTCTGAAATTTCAAGATGAGTAACATGTTTTCTCGCTCTTGTAAGCTTTTAGCCACTACTGTAACTTTGCTTCAATCAGGAAGGTACGGAAGATGTTGAGGATGAGGCTGCCCATATACTGCTTCATACGGGCTCATTTGAGATGATGAGTGAAAGCTTGTATTGTACCAGAACTCAGCTAATGGTAACCAACGGCTCCACATATAAGGCTTGTCACTGCACATACACCTCAAATGTTTCTAAGCAACGATTCACCACTTCAGTTTGGCCATCACTCTGAGGATGATAAGCACTAGAGTAGTTAAGGGAAACTACTTGTAATGTAAAGAGTTCTCTCCAGAATTCACTCAAAAACACATCATCCCGATCACTGACAATTGAGTTCAGAAATCCATGGAGTTTAAAGACATTATCCAAGAATGCATGACCTACGAAGGATGCTGTGTAAAGATGACTTAACGCAATGAAGTGAGCTGCCTTAGTTAATTGATCAGCAATCACAAAAATGACTGATTTGCCAAAGGATAGTGGAAGACTCTCTATGAAATCCATAGAAATATCAGTCCAGATTGTTTGAGGAATTGGTAACAGCTGTAATAATCTAGGAGAAGCAGATGTATCGTACTTACATTGCCGATAAACAGAACAGCTTTGGATGTACGCTTGAATATCCTTACTCATCCATTTCCAGTAAAAGATGCTTTAAACACGTTGGTGGGTCATGTCTGCCTGAATGTCCCCCAACACCAGAACAATGCAGCCAATTCAATATTGCATCACGCAAAGAAATATCGTTGGGAACCACAATTTTACTCTTCTTGCGTAAAATGTCACGAGACCATGTCATATGTTTCTTACACCCTGGTTTAGCTTTCAAAGCTTCAATCACGTCTTTAGTTTGATTATCCGTTGCATAATAGCCTTGAATTCTCTGCAACAAACCACAATCCAAGACAGACAATGCCATATGTAAGATCTCAGCTCCTTCAATTCGAGACAGAGCATCAGCTGCTAAATTTTCCTTGCCCTCTTTATACTGAATTTCATAGTCAAACTCTAACAACTTATGCAGCCATTGTTGCTGAATTGGTGTGTTCAACTTCTGCTTCAACAAGTACTTGAGGTTACGTTGATCAGTCTTGATTACAAAGTGACCAGTGAGCAAGTAATGCCTCAATTTTTGAACCGTAAACACCACTGCCAAGAGTTCCTTTTCATAGATGGATAAGTGGAGTTGTTTTCCTTTCAAATGGTGGCTTATGTAGGCGATTGGATGGCTATCTTGCATCAGTAATGCGCCAATACCATGTCCACACGTGTTGTCTCCACCACGAATGGTCTATCAAATAACGGTAATGCCAATACGGGTGTTGTGCATAATGCAATCTTCAGGTTTTCAAAGACTTCTTTGGCTTCTTCGGACCAATTAAACGAGTCTTTTTTCGTAAGCATAGTGAGAGGTCTTATTATACTGCCAAAGTTCTTCACGAAGCGCCTATAGTAACCCGTTAATCACAGAAACCCTCTAACTGTTTCAAATTTGCAGGGATTGGCCATTCAGAGACTGCTTTAATCTTGTTCAGGTCTATAGAAATCCCTTCGGCTTCGATATAATGTCCCAAATACTCCACTCTTGAAGTAGCAAATGCGCACTTACTGCGTTTAGCATACAATTGCTGAGCTCTCAATACTTCAAACACCTTTTGTAAGTGCTGTACATGTAGCTCTATCGATTTGCTGTAGATGAGAATATCATCGACGAAGATCAAGACAAATTTTCTCAAGAATACCTGAAATGTAGAGTTCATAAAATCTTGAAACGTTAGCTGGAGCATTTGTTAAACCAAACGGCATTACCAAGTACTCATAGTGGCTGTTATGAGTTTTGAAAACAGTTGTGTGAATATCCATAGGATCCATCCGCACTTGATGATATCCTGCTCTCAAATCAATCTTGGAATACACGATTGAACCACCCAACTCGTCCATTAGATCTTCAATCAGCGGAATGGAGAATCTATCTTTCACTGGGAGACCATTTAACCCTCTGTAATCCACGCATAAACTCCATGTTCCATCTTTTTTCTTAACCAATACCACTGGCGATGCAAAAGAACTGCAACTTGGTTGGATTGTGCCAGTCTCTAACAGCTCTTTCACCGTTTTATCGATCTCGTTCTTCTGGTGAACAGCATAGCAGTAAAGTCGTTGATTGATCGGATTAGCGCCATCTACTTATTGAATCTTATGATCATGGCCTTGTCTTGATGGAGGTAGTCTCACAGGTTCCAGAAAAATGTCGTTGTAGTAGTCCAATAACCCTTCTAACGGTGATGATGGCATTGGGTTAGCTACTTCTGTTGTAAGAGAGAAACAGGTAGTCGGATCCTCCATTTCATCCTTGCTGACGCAGATCATAGACAACTGTATAGCAGAGTCTTGAAGCTTATTAAGTCTTTCAGCTTTAACTTCTCTTACTGATCCTGGTTGAATCCCCTGCAGCACCACTTTTCTGTTTCTCCACCAAAACTTCATCATTAAGTTTTTAAAATCTCAAGTAATTGGCCCAAGTTTATAGAGCCATTGCACTCCCAATACTCCATCACAGCCTTTTAACGGAATCACCATGAAGTCTACGCTGAAACTTGTTCCTTGAAAGTCCCATTGGAATTGATTCATTTTGGCTTGAACATTCAAACGATTGCCATATGCCACCCTCACTCTGGCATTATCCCCTGAAAGCAAATCACATCCCAACTTCTCTACTATAGTCGGATCCAGAGAGTTATGTGACGACCCCGAATCAACTAATATAAACAGAGATCATTTCTTATGAAACCTTTGACTCGCATCGTGTTAAAATCTGTAACTCCTGAAATTGCTCTGACTGATATTTGTGATATTTCCCCCGTTGGCTCCACCATGTCAAGTTCCTCTTCACCATTGTCATCCTCTATATCATCTTCCACCTCTAAGAAGTACAACTGAGTCTTCTTATGGACCTTGTAATGACCAGGGGTATACTTCTCATCGCAGTAGTAGCATAGTCCTTTCGCATGTCTGTCATTAATTTCTTCTGAAGATAGAAACACTTTTGGTTGGTTATTCTGTTCCACTCTTTTTTCTGTCTGCCTCCGGTGCTTTAGGTGTTGTAAAAATCCATTTTCCCAAATCTGAAGGAGGCCTTGGGCTAAGGAAATTTCTGATTTGGAACAGAGTCTTCAATCTGAGATTGATTTGGCAACTCTTCTCAAATAGTGGCTCTTTGTGGGTTGCTTGGGTAAGGGAGCACAAACTCAAAAGATCTTGCTTCTGGTCTACTGAAACCAAGAGTGGAGACTCTTGGATTTGGAAATTTCTTTTAGCTCTCAGGCCTGTCACAAAAAGGCTGCTCAGTTGCAAGTTGAATGATGGCAAATCAGCTAGTTTCTGGTTTGATATCTGGTGTAAGATTGGTCCTCTAATTGAAGTTGTAGGGCGTTTGGGTCCAAGGCTTATGGGGATTCCGATTTAAGAGCACGGTTGAGGAGGCCTTCAATACTCAAGATTGGCAGGCTACTTCACGATCAAGGAATGCCCAGGTTTGTATGGTGCGGAATTATATAAGGAATTTCCAACCTCAGTCTTTGCAGGGACCAGATTGCTTCTATTGGGGTCTTCTCCCTAACGCAACAACGGATTTCAGTTCAAAGAAAACTTGCAAAATTCTCAGACCTGTTGAGACAGTAAAATCCTGGTTCAAAGCAGTGTGGTTTAAGTATGGAGTTCCTAAACACTCCTTCACTTTCTGGATGGTAAATCTGGATAGACTCCCTGTAAAAACAAGGTTGGTCCACTGGGGTATCAATATTAATCCAACCTGTTCGTTCTGCTCCATGCAGGAGGAATCGAGACTCAGAGCAAATTTGGCAAAAGGTTCTTCCTCGGCTGCGGTTACCAACAACTGTTCTGGGTTCATGGGAGCTCTTGATTTATTGCTTACTGCATCATTCTGGCAATGGAACCCTGAAACGGTTGGCTATTCAGGCTACAGTTTATATTCTTTAGAGAGAAAGAAACAACAGAATCCATAACAGCATCTCTCTTCCGCCATACATCATCATCCATCAAATCGACAGGACAATCAGAAATACTCTTCTTGCCGGAAGGTTTAGAAAAGGATGTAAAGATCTCTAATCTCAATGGTTTTCTTATAGCTAGTTGCCACTAGCTGTTGCTGCTTGACTTGTAGTATCATTTAACTTCTTTTGGTTTTTTACACTTTTTGGGCCATAGAAGTTCTCTGCTTATTAGCTTTTGTATTAAACTTTTCTTTTGGTAATAATATTCACATTTTATCCAAAAAAAAAAGAAATCCCTTTTCCAGCGGAAGAAGACTTAGCCGAAGACCATGAAGAGCCCACAGGTTTTGGAGGATGTGCTGTTTCATACAATCTCCCAAGCATCAAACATTGACACATTGTTTCTGGTTGGAACATACGCACATGCATCTGAGTATCTGTTCGTAGTCCTGCCAGATAATTGCTAACCAAATACTCCTCCAAATTAAGCTTCACCCGAGTGCGAATCAGTTCAAACTTGTTATGGTACTCGGCTATACCTTCTGTCTCTCTCAACTTTTTCAGCTCAGCAATCGGATCATCCCATATATCATCAAATCTTTCTTTCAGCAGTGTTTTGCAGCTGTTCCAATCTCGTAAAATCCAGATTTTCCATCTCATTCTGGACTAACGATTGGTGCTAAGTAGCTGTGATCTCATCCAAATGAATCGAGACTATGGCTTCTCTAATATCATCTGGAGTGATCTATTGCGAAGAACTGTTCTACCTTAAAGAGTCAATCCTTCAACCTAGCACCGTTAAACCTTGGAAAATCTAGCTTAGCTACCCTAGTTATTCCAGCATAGTTCAGATGATTACCGGATCCAGAGGTTTGTCCTTGTTCGCAATTGTTTGCTGGATTGAATTGTACCAGTGCCGATGAATTCGGTCGATGTGCTGTTATTAGGCGAATCGCTTCGAAGAGGTCCGCCTTTGTTTTGGCAATTGTTGCATTTTGGCTTTCGATCGTCACATTTTGTTCTGTAATTCGAGATTCTAATGTATGTTGTCGATGAAGTATCTGATCCAGTCACGAGCTATCCGTGTTATCGCTGTAGCTCGTCGTTGCCTGAGAACGAGTTTCAACCGCCATTGCTCCGAGAATCGTTTGATGATTGATACCTTTGATACAAACGAAATTGTACTCAAAAAAATCCCAAATTTTATTGTGAAACCAATTAAAAACGAATCTAGTATTCAGGAAACACCAAATCCAAAAAACAGATAAACTCCACAAACGGAGAAATCCAAAAAAGAAAAGGGAGGAAGAAGAGTTTGTTAGAACAACAATTTTCTATCTCTTTGCTTCTTTTATATATCGTCGGCTTCCCTTAAGCCAATCTCAGCCGCCCAATTACAGCTTTCCATCCTGATCATCCACGTAATCCCTTCACCTTCGATATACTATATCACTTTCTATACACTCAACTAAATAATTATCGATTAAGATTTTTTAACCAATCTCGTAAACAACACCAGTTAGATTTCGTTCTCGCCCAAAGTCGAAATATAATGGGTTTCTTGCCTATAAAGTAGCTCTTTGGTGTATATGGACTGATATAATTTGTCTCGTCTTTTAATGTGAACTGGAGTATAGATTTTATGACGGTGGTTGGGATTTTAATTTTAGCATTATCTCCCATGCAATGGTATTTTTCTAAATATAAAGCAAAGATAGATTATAATTCAACTGAGTTTAGGAAAATTGAAAACGAAGCTACGAAAATTAATATAGTTTGAGCTTTTATAATGCAAGAAAAGTCAAAGCAAAAAAGAAGAAGAATTCAAATTGTCACCAAGCACAAACAGATTTTGATTATCATAACTCATAAGAGTGACATATCATCATCGGTGGAGACAGACTCTGTATCCGTCATGTCAGATGTATCGGTAGAAGACAGAGTCTCCGGAGAGGGAGACGTGACAGGAGGTGAGCAGATGGGACCAACATGATCAATCAAATCATCACGCGAATCAGTAAAGACGACATCACCTGAAGTAGAGGATAACGATGAAGGAGACGTAGTATCAGTCGAGAAGGAATGAAACTCTGTTTCAGTAAAAACTACATCACGTAAAACAGAGACATTACCTGTCTCAATATTGTAGACACGCCACCCTTTCTTTGCAAAGGGATGGCCAATGAAGATCAACTTGTTGCTTCTACTTTCAATTATATCACCTCCATGCTTCTGATTATGAACATAGAAAATGCAGCTGAAAACTCTGATATGATTCATTGGCGGGGGTTGGTTATAAATCAGCTCAAATTATGTCTTTCCATTCAGTAATGCAGTTGGAGTACGGTTGATGAGATAGGCTGCAGTAAGAGCACAGTATCCCCAAAACTCAACGGGAAGATTAGCTTGAAAACGAAGAGCGCGAGAAACATTCAGTGTATGACGATGCTTTTGTTCTACGCGACCATTCTGTTGAAGAATGCCGACACATGATGTTTCATGGATAATCCCTTGTTGAGCGAAGAATGCAGTTAAGCATATAAATTCGGATCCATTGTCACTGCGGATAACTTTGATGACGCTCAACTAATTGGAGAAAGTTCTTACGGTGTGTCGGAGCTTCTTGTTTTGAGGAGAGAAGATATATCCAGACTGCTCTAGAGTAGTCATCGACAATGGTAAGGAAATAACGAGAGCCACAAAGAGTGGAAGTTCTATATGGACTCCAAAGATCACAATGCACCATTTCAAAAGCAACACTTGTCTTATTCAAACTTATAGGAAAAGAATCTCCTGTTTGTTTGGCGCGGAGACAAATTTCACACGCATTGGAATCAAAAACACTAGTGCCAAAATCAGAAAACTGCAACATCTTCAAAGCCTTAGAGGAGGGATGAATCCGATCTCTGTATCTCTGCTGCTACTGCCATTCCCTGAAAAAATAGAGTCCATGCTGCTATCTACCCGCTCCAATCAGCATCATTATGATGTGATCCTAAATGATACAAAGCTTATCAGTAATCTGAAATACACATTGACGATCTATAGTCAACTGCGAAACTGATATAAGATGGCATCAAAGTCCATCAACAAAGAATACTTCTTGAAGACTCAAAGAAGATCCCAAATTTGCACTGTGGGGTTTAGTCGAAGTAGTAAACCGACCATCATGTAGTTTGATTAAAACTGGTGTCATTTCATAAACATCACTCAAATACTCAAGTGATCCAGTCATATGATTTGAAGTGCCTGTATCAATAATCTAAGATTCGATAAAATGCTTACCAGAGAGACGCTCAGTTGAAGGAGAAGTACGTTCCTCAAGAAGATGAACTAATGTTTTCCATTGAGTGTCGCTCAAGCCACTAATTCCTATCGATCTGCAGAATGAGAAAAGAGAAGCTGAAAAGAACAACAAAGTCAGTGTTTGGGATGCCATGAAAGAGGTTCCTAACTTGGACCAGCGTACTAAATTTAAAGCGGTTACCCTTATCTATTCATTGGGAATGAAAAATGTCTTTACGATATGTCGGTAGAAGAACGCTATGGTTGGATCCAAAGCAGTATTAGCTCTGAGTGATTTTTTATATTATTATATCGGTTTTTGATTTATTTATTTTCAAGTATTTGAAACCTGTTTTGAATCTTTTGATTGCTTTATTTAATGATCTTTTAATTCGTTAAAGTTCTTTTTTATAGCTTCTAGCATAATATAATCGTCACTTGTTTGTGATGGTTTCTTGTGATGATTGTGATGGTTTCTTGTGATGATACATACTATGTTTGGAAAGGTTCAGCTCATGATTCAAAAAATTTAAATAATGCTTTGACAAGGCACAATAGCAGATTGATCGTTCCAGAAGGTATGTATTTTGTAGTATATATAAATTGTATCTATAGATCTAATAAACTGTGGGTTTGCCGGTTTTCTGATTGCTGTAATCATGTTCTAATTGAATTTCAGGAAAGTTTTATCTGGTAGAGTGTGGGTTTGCCAATCGTCAAAAGTTTTTAGCTCCATTCAGACGTACTCGCTATCATTTACACGAAGGTCGTGATCCCAAAAACCAAAACGAGTTGTTCAATTTGCAGCATGCATCTTTGAGAAATGTCATCAAGAGAATTTTTGGTATTTTCAAATCTCGCTTTTTGATATTCAAGTCTGCACCTCTTTTTCGTTTAAAACACAAGCAGATCTAGACTACATAACTTTCTACGTAAGTATTGCCGGTCGGATGCTTTTCCTGAACAAGTGATCAACCCAAACTACGACCAAGTAAACTTTGAAGAAAGTGTATATGTGGGCGCCCTTGAATCCCAACAAAGAGAGTACGCCAATAATTGGAAAGACATTATAGCTTTAAGTATGTGGAATGATGCAATGGAAGCCGGAAGTCAACATCAATGGTGAGGTATAATACAATTTTAGAAAGCATGAAGAAGAAGAATCTTATCATGGAGAGCAGTATTGAAGAAGAAGAACATGTCTTTTTAGAATTTTATATGGTAGTTTTTGAAGGATATAATTTGTTTGTTCTCTTTTATAAAACTGAGTTCAATATTTTGCGTTGATTGTTTGTTCAAAAACTAGGTTCAATATTTTACTTGTGTTACAAAACTGGTTTTGTAATTATGGTTGTGAAGCTTTGAAATCTTTGACGTGCTTGTTCAAAGTGTTATAAGAAATAATTGTTTTATATCCTCGAAACTTTGTATGTTTTATTTAATAAAAGATAAATTTTTAATTTTGCTAACTAAAATTTGAGAATATAATGGCTGACTATAGTATTTTAAAAGTTGTGAATGATGAGTTAAAATATAAAGAATTATTGTGCCAATAACACTAAAATTTAACAGAATTACAAAATTATTAAATACTATACTTTTTGACTAACACAGATTTTCAAAACTAATTACAAAATCTTCACACCAATAACACAGGATTTTAAAAGAACTCTTAAATTATTATGCCAATAACATAAGATTTTATTAGGAATTTAAAAATCCTTACACTACTAACAATGAAATATTAGAATTCTTAAAATCTTCATAAATTAGTCTCCCACTAACCTCCCATCTAAAGTAATTCCGTGCTGCACTTGGAACCCCTAAACCCTAAAATTATCTATAAATACCCTTTTTCTCTTTCTTTTTGAGGGAGGCAGCCCCACCCCGAAATCCACACAAAAATACATTCTTTCTACTCCCAAACCTATTTTTTCTCATCTCATTCACTTATCTCCTAGTCTTTTGGTCGCTTTCTGACTTGGGCGTCAGAGCCCTTTCGAGGGAGGAGCCCCCTAATGTTTCTTGACCCATTTCTTGTGTCTCATATGGGAGATCCATGCTAGGTCGTCCCTGTCAGTCTGCCCCCGTCAGGCTGTCCAGCGAGCTCCCAGGAAGCTCCGCCAAGCTCTCGGAAGACAGCAGTCAGCCCCTGTCAGGCTATCCAGCGAGCTTCCAAGAGGCCCCTCCAAGCTCTCGGGAGACACTAGTCTTCTCCCGTCAGGCTGTACAGCGAGCTCCCAGGAGGCCCCTCCAAGCTCCTGGGAGACACCGGTCTGCCCCCGTCAGGCTGTCCAACGAGCTCCCAGAAGGCCCCGCCAAGCTCTCGGGAAACACCGGTCTGCCCCCGTCCAGCTGTCCAGCGAGCTCCTAGGAAGCCCCGCCAAGCTCCCGGGAGACACTAGTCTGCCCCCGTCAGGCTTTCCAGTGAGCTCCCAGGAGGCCCTAACAAGCCCCCGGGAGACACCGGTCTGCCACCGCCAGACTGTCCAGCGAACTCCTAGGAGGCCCTAGGCTCCCAAGGGACAGCTACCTGCCCCAGCGAGCCCACAAGGAACCCACCAGTGAAGGCCCATGGGCTTAGGACACTTAAGGCCCATCCTAAAAAGGATACGCTTTGGAGACTCGAACCCAGCACCTTATGAAGCACCAACAATGATGCCAACAACTACACCAAAAGATACTTACTGTACATTATGCCCCAAACTTATTTATATAACTTGGGGTCCAACGCCTCTACTTCATGGACTTTGGCCCAAGACTGGCCCTAACTCCTGCTGGCCCTCTGAAGTCCATCTCCACCCGCCTAACTGGAGATATTGACCCCCAACCCCCCCCCCCCCCCCCCCCCCCCTCAAGGCTATATGCATTGGTTCTGTTTGCTCCCCAGTGGATGGAGCTCCTACCTTAGGCTCTACTGTTATTTCGTTCATCACGACCCCGGCGAATCATACACCCTCACGTGTCATCCTGTAAAATACTTCTGAATAGTTGGTGCTAGAAGGAGGGGAGCATCAAGCCAAATGCAACGAGTAGAACCATCTGGAATCGCAGTATGTTCTCCTCATAAACTTATCTTTTGGGTACATTTTTTCCCCTCGAGGGCTTGACGTATGATTCACATCTTCATATGATTCACGTTATTACCACTCGGACTATTCTTTTACTATTTTATCGCATCACTTATTCTTTTTCTTGAGAACGTTCTTCCGGGAATTGAGAATTACCATTCTCGGGGGCTTCTCTTCTATCCTCCAGGATCGCCCCCAGGGAACTATCCTCCGGGATTGCCTCCAAGGGCACACCCTCGAGGAAATCCTTTTGGGAAAAACGGTCTTTCGAGACCGGCCTCCAGGTGCACGCCCTCCGGAGAACTTCCTCCGGGAAAAATGGTCTTTTGAAACCGGCCTCCAGGGGCACGCTCTCCGGAGAACTTCCTTCGAGAAAAGCGGTCTTTCTGAGACCGGCCTCCAGGGGCATGCCCTCCGGGGAACTTCCTCCGGGAAAATGGTATTTTTGAAACCAGCCTAGAGGGGCATGCCCTCTGGGGAACTCCCTTTGGGAAAAACGGTCTTTTCGAGACCGGCCTCCATTGACATGCCCTCCGGGGAATTTCCTTCAGAAAAAATGGTCTTTCCAAGACTGACCTCCAGGGGCACGCCCTCCGGGGTCCTTCGGGAAAAATGGTCTTTCTGAGACTAGACTCCAGAGGCACGCCCTCCGGGAAACTTCCTCCGGGAATAGTCTTTCTAATTTGCAACCCCGCATGGGCCCACCTGCAGGGAAGGAGTGGTGAGGAAGCTTCCCTTTGCCCAATTCAACACTCAACCCAAGTGCTGCGAGCGCACACCTTAGATCCATGCTAGGTCGTCCCTGCCAGTCTGCCCCTGTCAGGCTGTCCAGCAAGCTCCCAGGAGGCCCCTTTAAAGTTAGTAATTCACATGATCGCAACATATGGCGAGTCAATCGATAAAATTTTGACACATGTTACAATTAAATTAAAATTAAAAAATTTAGTAAAAGATAAATTTTAATTTAGAAAATCAAAAATAACTTAAAATATTAATCCTAAAAGAAAAAGGAAAATACTATTGAAAAAAGTTAATAAAAAAAAAGATATTTCAATTCAGAAAAAGAGAATAAGCTTTTTAAGATTATGATTGGTTCCGTATTCCAAATTTTTAATCTTTTAAAATCTTTTTGCTAAATATTATATACTTCTAAAGTGTTTCTGGTGTTCAATGCTTAGAGAATTTAAAAAAATTACATGCAAAATTTGTAATATAAATTTATATGAAAATGAAATCCTAGATGCTAATGATGAGTTGGATGAGAAGGAGAATCATCAAAAATCATGTAGAGAAGCATAACTTCTCTAGAAAGCAAAGAGATCTTATACGAAAGATGAATGTGGAAAAAAAGAGAAACTTTATTTGCTTGGAAAGAGTTAATAGAAAGAGAGTTAACACAATCTAAAAATTCGAATTGTATATCCAAGTTTTTAATGCAACAAAAAAATAGTTAATAAAATATTAATCTACAAATAAAGTAGGGTTAATATTACTAAAGATCCACAAGAGATTTTGTGTTTTGAATATTTTAATTGAAAACAAATAAAAATTACAACAAACAACTTTTAGATTTCTATTTTCTATTTTTATTTTTTTTATCAATGATATGATTTTATTTTCTATTTTTATTTTATAATATTTTAATATATTTAAAATTTATTATTATAAATTAGTATATGTACGGGTCCTGATCTAATATATATATATATACTATAGGGAAATATAAAAGCTAGTAATGGATGAAAAGGGGATAAACGTGAAGTTTTCGGTTAGATTACTAAAGATGTTAAGAGAAAAGGCGTTTTCATTGTGTAATTAATGTATTTCGTGTGTTTTGCTATCAGCGGAACTTCTGAAGAAAAAATCAACTATAAATAAGTTTTTCTCTCTCTTTTAACATGTAAGCTTTTCTTAAAACGTAAAATAACATTTTTTCTATCACTTTTCTGGTTGTTTGAACAGTGGACAAGCTGGTGCATAAACGCAACTCGCAACCAACACAGATTCAGATTCGCCTATTCCTCATTAGTTATATGCGAGTGTCGTCATTTATATTTTCTGCCATCACGAATCAAGCTTTTCAAAAGTTTGATCAATTATGCACTTCTAAATTGTGTGCTTTTTTAGGAATAAAAACTAATTTAATATTTCTACAAATAATGTTATTTTATGTTATGATGTAAATAATAAAAGTATGTACGAGAGAACACTAATCACCATTTCTCAGTTTCGGAAAGAACCATTCCCCCAATTTTAGAAGGTATATTAGATTAGTAATTTGAATAAATCTAAATATATGAAGATTATAATAAATTTAAAAATTTTGAATAATTTAAACAAATTTTGTCTTTTATATTTTCTTAAAAACTATTATATGAGGGGGTATTTCAATATATGAATGTTTAACTCTACATTACCTCTCAACACTAGAAAAAAAACTGGTTATAGAAACGAAAATATCACGATCATGTCGTGCTTGTTTTGAAAAAAAAGCCACGAAATAGCCATGCAAAAATTACGTAAATGAAAAAAAAAACGTTAAAATTTTGTAATATTTTTCTTGGCAAAAATAATCATGCATTAGTCACGAATATGGTATGATAAGCTTAGCCACTAATTAGCCACAAAATTTTTGTGACAACGTAGTTAGAAACAAAAATCAGTAACATTACTGTGGCAAATGTAGTCACAATTTAGTCAGGAAAAAAGCCTTAGCAAGATAAACCACTTTTTTGCCACTATAATTTTGTGACAATTTTGTCACGAACACAATAAATAACTAAATTGTGGCTCTTTTTATCACGGTGTCTCCACATTAATTGTCGTTACTATGTTCAATACCTATTCAAAAATTTAGTCATGGCTTTTCCGTGGCAAGCATGTCACATTCTAGTCACGAAAATACTATGGCAATCCAAACTAATTGTTCAACACAGGTTCACCTTCCACAATGTCCCATCAACCAGAGATGCAGGCTGATTATATTCGAAAATTAGTCACGAAATGGACTGTGGCTTTCCATGGCTAAAGTTATCAATATAAACAAAATCATTTCTCATTTGTTCGAATCATTAATCACATTTTATCATCCAAACACTATATACTCTATTTCTTTCTTTCCAATATTTTCGTTTCTATATAGTTAAATTACCAAAATGTCTCACTTTTTTTCAATCCAGAAAGTGGATGGATCGACATATTGATACAAAAAGAAATTGTGTATCAGAAAAGTTTATGGAGGGGATAATTTTTTTTTCTTGTGTTTGCTTGTAATCAAGCATCTATTCCAGAGTCTAACACTTTATTGTGTCCTTGTACGCGGTGCAAGAATTGGAAGCAACGGGATGCAAAAACTGTATCTCATCATCTTTTTAAAATGAGATTTAAGGGAAATTACTGTGTTTGGTCAAGCCATGGCGAAAATTGTTACGATGTTGGTGATTCTTCAACGGCTGGTTATTTTACCAGGGAAGCAGCAACATAGGATGAGCAAGCAACACATTTTTTAGTTCCGGCTGATGCATACGAGTATTATCCAAATGCAAATGTTAATGTGGGAGAAGATGTGGCATTGGATGATGTATTCGAGACTACCAACGAAGAGCCTTATCATGATAGCGTTTTTTCAAGCTTTTGAACCGCAAATCCAGCTCTTTATGACGGGTGTGTAGAAGGAAACTTTCAATTATATGTGGCTTCACGTATGATGAAATCAAAATCCAATCAAAATATGTCAGTGGCATGTGTAGATGAGATGTCATAGACTTTGAAGAGTGTTCTCCCGAAACCAAACACAGCTCCATCATCATACTATGCGACGGAGAAGGTAATGAAATTTCTTAGGCTACCTGTGCATAAGATTGATGTTTGTGAGGATAATTGCATGCTCTTTTGAAAGGGGGAAGATCAAGATCTATTGTGTTGTCGATTTTGTGGTAAAGACAGATACCACCCGCTTTTGCATGTTTAAAGTGTGAGTGTGTGTATGTGTTTAGCTAGAATCTTGAGTGTGTGTATGTGTTTATCGTGAATGTGTGTACAAGTTTGCCAGAATCTTGAGTGTGTGTGTGTGTGTTTACCGTGATTGTGTGTATGTTATTGTTTTTCAAAATGCTGTTAAGTTAAGTTAAGTTATTGTTGTTTTGACAGATAATGACATACCACCAGGAGCTGTTAGATCTAGAAGCACTTCAGGTCCACCCACACCACCAGGAGATTTTGGATCTACAAGTGCTTCAGGTCCTGTCATGCCACCAGTAGCTGTTGGACCTACAAGTGCTGGAGCTGCAAATAACTACACCCACATGACCCTAGAAGCATTAATGAATGCTCCCTCCAGAGAGTTTCAGCCACATCTGCATCCAAGAAAACTCAATGGGGCTTTATGGCAAGTTTTCTACAAAATCGAGTCCTTTTCTTTCTTCTGATAATGTTTTGTTATCTCGGATTCTAATTCTTCTTATCTCAGGTCCAGTGTAGAACCCTCTGTCCACAAATTCATCTGAACAACTTGGCAAGCCTAATATATGAGATCATGAAGTAGCTGGAAATATATTCCTGATGAGAGGAAAGAGAAGTGGTGGAAGACTTTTGTGGTAAGTACTTGTTTCTCAAAAACTACCAATTGTTGTCTACTACCATATAAATATTAATGTTTCTTTTTCATTGTATCAAAACTACTACTGGAAGGATCGTTTTGAGGACACTGTCTATCGTCTCTGAAAATTGCACACACAGACTACAATATGTAAAAAAAAATTAGCAAGAAGAAGAGACTAAACCAGAAGCCTAAGTATATAAGCGAAGCTGAACTGAACAACTCTGCTGGAGTTTTGGTCAACAGAACCAGCCCGTAAAAGGAGCAAGTCAGCGGCTGAATCTCACAAATCAAATCCTGATAACAAAGGGATGCACAAGCATTGTGCAGGTCCTCAAAATTTTTTGAAGATTGAATATGATATGGAAAATGAATATCTTTGTCTCCTTTTTTTAATCTTTAATATGTTATATATTTCTACTTATTTGTTTATCTCTTTGTTTTTCAGATGGTCGAGTTTGGTCTTGATGAACCACCGCCTTACATCAATCTCGTGCGGAAGACACACATGCGATCAGATAGATGTTTCATTAATGGTAGATCTGAGACTCTTGTCCTTGAAGTAGAGCAAAACCGTAGCACAGATGATAGCTGCTGATAGATCTCCTAATTCTTGCAGTCAAACCACCTCAACAGCTACAACTCCTTCTTGCATTCTCCTCAACCAAGAATTTCTCAAGATACTCATAAATAACACACTCATTCCTTTAGTCGCTGTTTGTCGATAGTATAGGGATATAGTTTTTGGTTTGTGTAAATTTGTTTTGATTTATTGCCATTTACTTGAGTTGTGTGTGTATCTTATATACATTTGCGTTTGTGAGAATAAGAACTTGAGTTGCTATTTTTGTTGTGTTTAGTAATGCGTTTTTAGATTGTGTTGTCTCTGATTTTGTCTGTTTGTTTCTTTTTACAGCACAGTATGACAAGTCAGGGAGAGTATACAGAATTGGCAGTGTGCAGGCGAAATTTCATTTTGACCAAGTCAATCCATGCATCTCTTACACACAGCGTGGACATGGACATGCGTATCTCCAGTTTGGAGGCTCGTTCTGAATCTGTCAACAACAATGTTGAAACTCTCAAGTCAAACATGACTGAATTTAAACAAGATGTGGTGGCGATGAAGGGTGAGTTGAAGGAAGAGTTGGCCACGGTCATGAATGAAATCGTGGCCGTACTAAATGTATTCCTACAAAAGGTTGAAACCACTCCTCCTCCTCCTGCTGCTGCCCCTACGCCTTCTCCTCTTTTTGCTAAAGCCTCTACACATTTTTCTCCTCTTGTTAAGACCACAAACCCGACTCAAGAACAATCCCCACTAGATAAGTGGTGTGCTGCTTTATTAGGAGAGTAATTGTTTTTTCTGTTCTTAAACTTGTGAAAGCTTGAATGTTTGGATTGAATGTTTGAATGTTGGAAAACAATTCATGTATGATACTGGTTTATTATTGCATTTTAGAATTTTGAATTTAAAGTTTAGCATTTTATGCATTTTAGCATATGTTTTCATTGTCAAAAATCAATTTTTTCACGTTTTATAATTAGTTACGAATTAGTCGCTAATATTGGGTGGCTAGATTAGTCATGAAGCAGCCACAAATATGTTATAGCTATATAGATACGGACAATCATGTGACTAATTATATATTAATCATAAAATATATTAGTCATGATCGTAAAGACACGATTTTTCGTGGCTATGAGACCATATAGCCATGGTATTTTTACCTTAGTCACGAAATAGTTTGTGGCTATAGATAATTTTTTTTACTAGTGCAAATCATCTCAAATCATTTTTAAAAATAATTCATTAATGAAATCCCAATCATATTATTAATTGGCTAGCAAGTTGGGTTGTGGTTAAGAGTTATGATGGTTGATTACTCTTTGCCCTTTATATGAAAAGAGTTTATTTACGATTAATAAAATTAACAAATTAATATAATATAATTTTTAATTTATTTTTGTTTTTTTAAAAACCTAAATTTCCAAATTTGAGTTTATATCATAAAAATATTTAGTTTACTAAAAAAAGGTAATTGGCATAAATAAATAAAAAAATCTTAATTATTTTCTTAAACTAATTTTAATTTGTTCATTTAATCTACTAATATTTTTGATTAATCTAATTGATTTATTCGACCACGACTAAAATCCTAAATCCTTTAAAACTCTTCTAGAACTCTATATCGTACGTCTCTCTCCACAACTTTCGTTTTAGATCTCTAATCTCTTTTAAAAAACCAGTCGTAGAAGATTCGAAGTTACAGTTTTATTGAGAGTTTTGTTGGAGAAGAAATGATTAATTTGATTCTAGGTATTGGTTCTACTTTTATGTTTGGTTTGACTGAATTTGGATTTGATTTGTGTGTTAGAACAGCTTCGACAAATAACTGAGACCAAGCATGAGAATTTTCATTAGCATTGAGAGACAGATTTTACTTGCAGCAATTGTCACCAACATAAGCTGCAGCTTGGACCAAAGAATCTGCTAAAGGGATCATTAACATTAAGATATTGATCGATAAAAATGTTTGGTCTTATGTTTAGAACGACCTCCATTTGAGAGACACAAATACCATTATATCCACTAGGTTTAAGGAAGAGAAATAGAGTCTTAAAGAACTCACCGTCAAGCTCTTCCAAACCATCAACAATGTGAGTTTTTTTTCTTCTTTTAGGGTTTTGTTTTCCCATGGTTTCTTGGTGAATAAGTTTTAAAGTGTTTTAATTTATAAAATTCTTTCTAATGTTTAGATTGATCATAGATCTAAGATTGTTGTTTCTTGTGTGGAAGTTGGACTATGCGGCAAGGTCAAAACGCAGCCTATATGCTGAGAAATATTACTCGGAGATAGAGTCACTGAGATGGTATGGAGTTTGAACAATGTTCTTGCCAAATTTAATTAAAGAAGCAAGATTTTCTTTGTAATGTATTGTTACTGCTATTATTATTTTTATTAAGTACTTCGTCTTTTTTCCTCTTTTAAATTGAATATTTCTAATTTTAGTTTTATGTTGTTTCCCCTTGTCTCTTTTAAACTTAATCATCAGAGAGTTTTTACCTTATTTTTTCCTCTCAGGGGACATATATATATGTTTGCACAAAGTAACCAAAATGCTGACGTAAATGGTCAAGTAGGCATGGGTTGGGACAGTTGGGACAAAAGGCTTGATGTCTTCAACGATCTCCAGGGCCCAAGGTAAGACTAACCCTCCATGTGAATTGAGATCGGTCGCAGGGTCGAATATGATTCATAACTCACCGATCTCTGAGTCTATTACCCATAACCATGCTTTGATCCTCAAACATATCCTTCTCCCAATCATAGACACAAGATCCTTCTCCCAATCCAGGACACAGTTAAACATATTGTAGTGGACACTATTGATGATTTGCTTTGGTTCTAAAATTGATTGCTATGTTATGTGTGGTGGTGAAGTTTACTATCTAATTTCTGAGATCTTCCTAGACAATTACAAGCAATGGAAGTGGAGAATATTTGACAATGGCAATGTTGAGTATGAGAAGTAGGAGGTTATTTGTTTGCTGGAGTACCCATACCTCTTCTTGGATTATGCACTAAGATTATGTTTCTTCTAGCTCTAGTTCCTTTTTTCTTGTCTTGAAACAAAAATCCAAGTCCGAAGATTCGCAAACCTTTAAGGCAAAAGAAACTAATATGCAGTTTATTGTGAAGAGAAGGAGAAGAAGTTCATCGAAATTATTCTGGATGTTGGTGCTTGGCTTACAAAGCTTCACAAGGCCAACAAATCCCAAAAAAAAAGAATTATTCATTATGTTTGATAAATACAATAAAACAACAAAACATACATATCAATTTTTACTAGGTAATATAAAAGATATTAAAAATAAAATAAAATAATATATTTAGTTTTATCGCAAAAACAATATATTATGAAAATTGTATTTTTAAAATATAATAATTTTGATTTCAAATAATTATAAAATTTGATTTTTTATTTATAAATAAACTAATGTTATTAATTTAAAAAAAAAAATTAATCAAACTCCGCACAAGTGCAAGGAAACCACTTAGTTTTCTAATAAGATAAAATTTTAATGAATTTATATTAATTCATATAAATGACTAATCCAATAATCTTATATTTTAAGTAAAGCTATATTTAATAAGAAGAGATTTGGAAGAAACGAAAAAAAACCATCCCAAATCATTAATCTAATATATCCCCACTTATTATTGTTTATGGAGAACGTTGTTTCAAACGTTCAACTTATACACACACCACGAGCTAAAAGTTTCATTTACTCGTTTTCAACGGTACGTAGGAAAACTACCCCTTTCAAAAGAATTTCCGATACCAAGAAACGAAAGGGGCAAATGCAGAACCGATCTGCCATGGATTTATCGGCTCCCTACCACCAACCTAACCAATCTATGATCCAAAAATATTAAAATAGGACTCCACCGCGGGTAAAAAACACAACGTCAATGGAGAAACAAAAGAAACAAAAGAAGAAAGGCCTCAGAGCCTCTTTTTTTTTTGGACGCTATAGACAAATGTCAAGAACTTTTTTTTTTCCTCCGCTCTCTCTCGAAAAAATTAAGTTAATTAATGCTAATATATCAAGAGGTTTAGGGTTCAATTCACACACTGTTCTTTTTTTTTTAATTCAAAATTTGATGTGTTACATAAAGCATGGACAAACGAAACTGTCCTCAGAGATAAATGCCACACAAAGCACACTAGAATTACGATGTCACACTAATGAGTGGTGACAATCAAATGCCATACAGACCATTAGAATCACTTGAAACCACATCGAAACTAAATAAAATAAAAACTAACATTGGCAAATTCCCTAGCCAGAGATTGATAGAGCAGTCCGAACGATTTTTTGAAAGCGCGAAGACAAGAGTAGACGCCGTTAGAACTTGATAACCTCCTTCTCGCTTGATCTTCTTACGAACATGTCTAATCATGTACCCCATTCAATGGCTCCACCTCACACGAAAGAAGCTACCGAGGCAAAACGAATTCGAAAGAGACAACTACAAGAAAATCTTATTTATTAACAAGGGAGCGAGAGATACCGAAACATGGATAGGACACACTTCTATGTCTTCTTCTTCTTTGATAAATTGAAAATTGTTTATACTTCTCTTCGCCAAAACATCTAAGCCGACACTGCACCAAAACTAGAGATCTTTTCCAATTCGCCACACATCGGCAATAATGAAAAACTAGACTGAAGGAAGGAATCCATCAAACCAAACAGGAGCACACCTAGGAGACCGGTTCTTACGCTATAGAAGCCGCCGGAACCAGCCACCGAATGGCTCAATCGATGTTTCTCTCTTGTCTTGTCGCCTTTCTCTCTTCACACTGTTCATTGTGAGCACGTATCTTTGTGGAATAAATTTATTAGTTAATTGTTCTGTTCTCATAATTCATAATGAAATAATATTTTTTACATTAAAATATTATATGGACATTTCTTTTACAAAAAGAAGAAAGAATTAGTAGTATATATATATATAATTGTATTATTATTTGAAACATTGAAGCAATCTAAATAAATATTAATAAAACTCATATTTATTATCATATTTTGCTATATAATGTAGCACATTATTAGTAGAGCTTATGGATTATTCGAAACAATGTTAGAGTTTTGTTTTTGTTTCATAAAAAGTATCGTTGCAAATTTATAACTAAAATATTCAGTTTTAATCTTGTTACATTAGTGTATTAATTAGAAAGAGAAAGTTGTTTAATATATTTATAAAGAATAGAAAAAAAAATTTATTAATTTTTTTAATTTGTATAAAAAGTGTTAAAATGACACTTATTTTGAAATGGAGAGAAGGAGAGAGCAGTTCATAAGATACAAAACAAACAATTAACTTACCTTACATAAATATTGGTAAAGTTTAAGAAAAACAAAAGCTTATCCGTGATGCCAATTATGTACACGTCCCACCGGTGCACCGTGAATATTTGTGAAGTAGATCCCATCTTTTCTGGCAACCCATTTACTTATCTGACGACATTTTTTTGACTCACCTGCTCGATACATTTCTATTTTTTATACATTTCTAATTTATCGAAAAAATTCTTGTGGAGGTTAGTTTGAATCCTAAGCTCTATTTTTCTCTGATTTGTTACAGTCCGTCGATGAGATTATTCTGAAGCTGAGTTAAGCAAGGTTGAAGACTTGGTCTCGTGAAGAAGGTTTCGATGGAAGGAGAAAAACATGGAAGACTCAAAATGAGACAGAGGGTTCTAAAGATAAAGTTATTATCTTCACAAAACACGTGATTTCTCTTTCTCTCTGTAACGGCAACAGAGTCGTACTCTGTATTGATGCACCAAGAGGAGACAAAGAAAGCAGGCCTGCAACTAACCGTTTTCTCTTGGGATCAATAAGACAAAAGGAACAAAAGTAACCAGAGGTTAATTCAAGCGTAGAGTTAGGTTTTGCCTTGGTTACCTTATTATTCTTTGAGAGTATAAAAGACATAAGATATGTCTGAATATGTAAGTTTGTATAAGTGTGAGAAACAGAGCAGAGAGAGAAGTGTAAAAGATTAAGAGCTCGGTTTGAGCTAAGTTCTTAGTGGATTTTCCGGAGACCTTCTCCGGCGAGATGTAGGATCCCAAGGGTCCGAACTCGTTAATTCTCTGTGTCTTTACGTTTCAAACTCTTTACTTTAAGTCTTCTCAAACAAACAAACAACAACTCTGTTTCTTGCTCAAGTTTCTTACACACAAGTGTTAATAGTGAGAGAGAGTGTGTTTAGACTGAAGAAAGATCGCTACTTTATCATGTCTAAACTCAACAAAGTGGTATCAGAGCTCAGGTTGTGGAGCAAGTCTCTCAAGAACACAGATCCGCATCTTCTCCTCTTATTTCCGTCATGGAAAGGTACGAAGGCAGAGGAGACTACAAAGTGTGGAAAGAAAAGCTTTTTTCTCAACTAGAGAACATGGGTCTCATGGATGCTCTAAAGGAGAAAGAAAAAGGAGTGAAGAAAGGTGTTGTAACAGAAGCAGCAGAGGCCGTGTCTTCAAGCTCAAGAGGAACAAAGGAAGAACACAAGAGAGACCTCTCGCTGGCAGAAAAGGAGAAGAAGGCCAGATCTGTTATCATACTAAGTGTCGGAGATCTCATCCTAAGGAAAGTGGTGAAAGAAAAGACAGCAGCAGGTATGATACAAGTTCTGGATAATCTCTACTTGCCTAAGTCACCATCAAGGCGTTTATACCTCAAGAAGAAACTTTATAGGTTTAAGATGGATGAAAAGAAGCCTATGGAAGAGAGTATAAACGAATTTCTAGAGATGGTTTCAGAACTAGACAAGATAGAAGCTTATGTATCTGAAGAAGATAAAGCAGTTTTACTGCTTTTGTCCCTCCCAAGTAGATTTGGTGATCTTAGGGATACTCTGGAGTATTGTGAAGGGTCTCTAAGCATAGAGAGGGTGATGAATGCAATATGGGTAAAAGAGTTTGAGTTCAGTCAGATTGGAGAACAAACAAGAGGAGAAAGGCGTTTGTCCAATGGGGAGAGAGGAAGATCAGATTACAGAGAAAGAGGAGCTAAAGGAAAAGAAATAGCAAGATCAAAGTCATCAAAAGAGAAAATCACTTGCTGTATATGTAGTGAAGAAGGTCATCTCAAGGAACAATACTCAAAAGGAAAGAAGAAGGAGGAGCATTATGTTGGTAGAAAGGAATCTACGACAAGTAAGAGAGGTGACAAGGATGACGTTTTGCTCTTGGTCTCAGAAGCAAGCTTCAAGACAAATGAAGACAAGAATGAAAGATGAATTCTTGATTCAGGCTGTACAGTTCATATGACGCCAAGAAGAGAGCTGTTTGAAACGTTTTCATACAGAGAAGGAGGAAGTGTGAGAATGGGAAATGATACACTTTCTCAGGTTAAGGGAGTTGGAACTGTCAAGATAAAGAGTGAAGATGGCACAAGTTTTCTTCTGCAGAATGTTAGATATGTTCCTGACATATCAGAAAATCTCATTTCGCTTGGGATTTTGGAGGAAGAAGGGTGCTGGTTCAAGTCAAGAGATGGCATATTAAAAGTTATAAGAGGCTGCAGAACAATGCTTAAAGCTAAGAGAAAAGAAAGCATGTATCTGCTGCTGGGAAAAGCCATCGGTGCTGAAACAGATGCAGTAAAGAAGCATCAGGTTGAGACAAGAAGTTGTCACAAGAAGATGGGTCATCTAAGTCAAGAAGGACTTGATATTTTGGCAAAGAAAGGACGTTTTGAAGCTGACAAGATCAAAGGGTTAGAGTTTTGTGAAGACTACAAACTGGAAAGGGTTCAAGATAACAGTTTTGATTCAACTAAACCTGCAACCACACAGAAACTTGAATGCATACACATAGATATATGGGGTTCTTCATCAACACCAAACTCACTGGGAAGCAACCAATACTTCATAAGCTTTATGGATGAATACACAAGAAAGGTGTGGATTTATTTTATGAAGAAACAAGATGAATCTTTTGGTAAAGTCAAAGAGTGGAAGAAGTTGGTGAAAAATCAAAGTGGAAAGAAGATCAAGGAACTAAGGACAGGAAGTGGTCTTGAGTGTTGCAATAAAGATCTTGATAGATTCTGAAAATTAGAAGAGATTTCAAGGCACAAAACGTGTGCATCAACACAAGATCTAAATAGTGTTGCAGAGAAATTAAACAGAACTATCATGAGAAGGGTGAGAAGCATGTTGGATGAATCAGGCTTGTCTGAAGTTTTCTGGGCTGAAGCTGCTGCAACTGCAGTGTTCTTGATCAACAGATCACCATCATCAGCTGCAGAGTTTGGTATTCCTGAAGAAAGGTGGACAGGTTCAATACCAAATTACAAGAATCTTAAGAGATTTGGCTGTGTAGCACACATACACTCAAATCAAGGGAAAGAAAATCCAAGAATGAAAAAGGGTAAAATCATTGGATATTCTGATGAATATAGAGGTTACAGAATCTGGTTATTGGATGAGGAAAAATGTATCACAGGCAGGGATGTTGCAGAAGACAAGAAGTATAAGGAGTTGAACTTGAAGAAGCAAAGCTCAAATCAGATTGCAGATGAAGATCAAAGAAGTAATTCACATCTCTTAAGTGATTCAGTTTCAGATAGATCTTCAGTTCAAGGTGAAGCTTATCAAGAGAAGAACAGCTTCACAAGGCAAGGGAAAAGCGTTTCAAAGCTATTATTGCAGAATGAAGATTCAGAAACAGAAGAGAGTGAAACAAAGAAGACTGAGATGAAACTGCAGGGTAATAAGTTGCTAAAGGATCATGTCTCAGAAGAGGTTAAGCCAAACAGAAAAGAAGAAAGATCAAGCTCAGTTGGGGCAGTTCGTTTTAGAGCTGAAGGTGGAGAAATTCCAGAGCCAACTAGTTTTGAAGAAGAAAAGAAAGGTCCAAACTGGAAATTTGTTAATTTTGCAGGAAATGAAAATTTTCAGTGGGTGCATCAGTTTGAAACGTGGGAGAAACTCATGAATCAAGATTCAATGGGATGCAAGGGGATCTGCAACAGGAAACCTCATGTTTCAGGTACTGGAAAACCAAGTTTCAGAGTTAAGTTGCTGGTCAAAGGTCACTCCCAAGAAGAAGAGATTGACTGTTACGAAAGTTTCAGTTATGTGGTGGAACAAAGATTAATCAACATTTCGATGTCTGATGTTGTTCACCATTTCTGGAATATAAAGAAGTTGGAGTTAAAAGCAAGTCTTGTACAGGGAAGATTAAAGGAGAATATTCCGGTGCTTAAAGGAGAAGAACATGAAGAGAAATCAAGTAAAGAGAAAGTTTGTCTCTTTAAAGAAATTGTTCAAGAGTTGAAGCAGCCATTGTGGTCATGGAATCTGAAGGTTTACACATTCATGATTCAAGCTGTTATTATGAGAAGCAAGTTTGATAAGTATGTATGCTTCAAAGAAACAAGGATGGAGATGCATCAAGGCAGAAAAGAAGATGATTTCAGGCTGTCTCAGAGAGGATATATGATCATTGCAGAGGGGATATTCAGAAGAGATCAAGGTAAGGTTGCTTTTACTCCATTGGTGGTACAATCAGAACTTAGAGAAGCTACAGAAGAAGAGCAAAGAGATCATGCTGCAGAAATGAAGTCTGTGTCACACTCAAAAGTTGTTGACAGAGAGAAGTGTGTCAGGATTGGCACAAGAGCGGATCTTGTTGGTTCAGTGAGGGTGACAAGTCGTTCTGGAAAAGAACAAGGGAAATCAGTGAAATGATTGAAGAGGAACTTCAAGGATTCAGTAGAATCAAGTCTGGTTTTCAAGAAACAAGAAAAATCTGGGTTGAGTGGAGTTTTCAATTCAGGGATTGCTGCAGGCTCTTATGAAAGA